TAACCAATTACTTTTAATTAATGAATAAAAAACAAACTATAACAATATGAACAGAAAGCATTATCCTGCCATGAACCATAGTTACATCCTTTGATACCTGAATTACATAAAACAAAGTTAAAAAAATCAACAATATATTTGATAATAAAAAAATATGTTAACAAAAACATTCCTTGTTGGTAACAAAATTTGAAAGGATATTACAGGAAGACATTAATATATTTGAGAGATAATAGTCTATGAATTATAGGAATGATCAACTAAATAAAAACTGAAGAAAAGCATAAAAATATTATAAATAAAAATTAATACCACAAAAAAGTGTTTAAGCCTTTTCAACAAGATGAGAACTGTTAGGAATAGTTGATTTAATCATATCAGAACTTTTTTGAGTGTCTTCTTTCTTTTGAGTCATAATTGGTGTTGATTGAGTTAGTTGTTGTTGGTCTTCTTGAATTGGTTCCAAAATATCAATCAATTCTTCTTCTACTGGTGGTTTCTTTGCATCTTCTGGAATAGAGTTCATTAACTTTTTTACAAGACCTGTTGTAAATAATCCATTTTCAACAGCAGTTTTAACAGAGTTTAATAAACGGTCAGCTATTTCTTGTTTTTGGACAGCATATTTATTGAAACCTATTTCAATAAGTAATTCTTTTGACTCTTCTTTAAATGCAGTGTCATCTATGAATTTATTATTATACATTGAGAATAATGTATTACATTTTTGTGGTATATCTTTTGTATAATTAATTAAATCATTAATATCTTTAATCTGTGCATTAAAAATTTGTTCTGCCTTAGAATCTGCAGTTACTTTAACATCATACACTTTCTTAAAATTTTCAAAAATTGTTCCATAACTTCCACGAAGAAGATTTAAAGCATCTTTATAAGCTTCAATAGTTACTGTCTTTAAAGCTTCTTTTTTCTCTTTTTCAGTATTTTGCATTTCATTAATAATATTGGGATTTTTTAAAAGTAATTTTTTATTTTTCTTTGTCGAATCAATTTTCTTATTAATTTTTTTCCATTCGTCATTTGCTTTAGATATATTCTTTTTGGCTTCATCTTGTGCTCGGTCAAGTTCCTTGGGTAAATTTGTTGAATCATTTACTAAATTTTCGCAAATAATTTTAAATTGATCTGTTATTTCTATTAAATTATTCTTCCACATTGAAAACATATTTGCAATATTTAACATTCCAACATTTAAGTCATTATGCCCACAATCTCCCATAGTTTCCATTGATTCTACAAGTCCTTCTGCTGCTTTAACCATTTGTTGTTCAGCTTTATCAAATAATATACATCTCTCAACAACAATCTTATACTTAGGAATGAGGTTTCTTATTGCTTGGTGTGTGTTTCGAGTATCATTTTCTAATTCATCAATACTCTTTATAAGTAATTCGTTTTCCATAACTTCTGTTTTTTTCTAGTTCTTTCTTACTTAATTTCGTTTCATTCTTTTTTTAAGATTTTATTTAATTGGTTGAAATTTCTTTTCACTAATCACTCAATCAAAAACTTCTCACTTTCAGATTTTATTATATTCCTAATATGATCCACAAATGTACAATCTTAATGCTAATCTAAGAAACAATAATTTGTTCTTTTTATATGCAACACACTCAAAGTCAACCACCAAAACAAAATTTATTATTTTTTCCAAGTTACATTGATGAAAATAAGAAAGACCAATCACTGAGAAACTCCTTACTTTCTTCAGAAGAGTACAATACAAAATATTATTTCTGTCCAATTTCTAAAATTTATCGTACTCCTCCTATTCCCTCTAAACGAATAACTCATTATCAAAAACTATTTGTTGAAGGAGTTCCTCCACCAACTGATGAATTAGAGAAGAGGTTTGTTGACATGAAATTGATAGGAACCGGGAGCTACTGGAATGTCTATAAATGTTACGACAAAAAAACTCAACAAATTAAAGTTGTTAAAGTCTCCATTCGAACAAACCATTCAATTAACTACAAAAAAGAATGTAATTCAATGAAAATACTTCAAAACAAAACTATGTATCTAGCATTAAATGAAGAAATGTATTATGATTCAATAAATTTTTATGCTATTATGCCAAAGTTTGAAACAACAGTCTGGGACCTTTTAATAAAGAAAGAAATGAATAACAATGAGATTGTTTTTACAATGTGGTGTGTTCTTATGGGATTAAAAATAATGAATATTCATGATTTAGTTCATCTTGACGTTAAATTAGAAAATTTATTAATTGATAAGAATGGGATGGTAAAGTTAGGTGATTTTGGTACATCAACTAAAGTAGGAGAAGTTGTTGATTCAGATGAATGTGGTGAAGGAAGATATTTAGCTCCGGAAGTGCTTCAAGGACACGCACTGTTTGAAAGTGATGTTTATAGCTTAGGTATTTGTTTATTTGAAATGGTTAGTCGAAAAATATTCAATCCATTGGTTTGAGTCATTAACTTCTTTTATAATAATCTATAAAAAATAATATTAACAAATAGAGTTTCAAGGCTGAGTTTGGTGATAGGAGTTTACTTAAATTCTTTAAGAATGAGGCACTTCGAGATATGTTTCTTAATTTTACTAGTTCTGTTCCAACTAAAAGAGGAACTCCAAGTTTATTGGTCAATTACACAATATTTGAAACTAATGAAATTATGTCAATTCAACTATAAAAAGGAACCAACTCCATTAATACAGGATATTCATATTATGTATCATATATAACTAAAAATCTTTTTAAGGTTATAAAATCTCTTTTTGACTACCAAACTTATTAAAAAGAAAAAGAATAACTGAGAAGAAAAGTCAGAGATAGAAAGACCAAAACTTTAAAGTCACAACAATGGAAGTACCTGAACTCCCTCCAAAACCAATTCGGTTAATTACACTTGAACAATCAAAGAATAATTTAAAAGAAAGTGTAGAGGTTTTTAAAAAAATCAGGATAAGTAAAGATAAAACAGAAGGTAGTATTGATAAATGTTATAACTTTGAAAAAAGAAAAATGGTTTGTAAAGAAATATATGAGACAGAAATATCCTATATCACTTCACTTGGGGTTTGTGAAACTTGTTATTATCGTGAAATGGTAAAAGAGACGTCTCCGTTTCGTGAAGAAGATGTTAAACAAATTTTTTTGTATTATGATGAGATACTTCGTTGTAATAGAGAATTTGCATCAATGGTAATAAAAAGTTGGAAAAATAACACATTTGAAGACTCTGTTGGGGAACTTTTTCTTAAATTTTCACCATTCTTTATTGTTTATAGAAACTTTTTAATTAATCATAATAAAGCTTTTACTTTGTTGACAAAGTTGGAAGAAGATACCAAATTAGAAAGGTATTTGGAAAGTTGTCAAACTCAAGTCAATAATAATCAAAACCTTGATCTTCGTGATTATCTTATTATGCCAGTTCAAAGATTACCAAGGTATAGTCTCCTTTTAACAGACTTGTTAAAACATACTCCAACAAATCATTGTGACTATCAGAATATCACTAAAGCATTAGAAGCAATGAAAGAAGTTACTTCAAAAGTTAATGAGTCAATCTCGACTAACCAACAACAACAAAAACTCATTGACCTAAGATCAAAACTTGCTCAAAGAAATGACTTTGAAGTTATAGAGCCTCATAGAATCTTATTAAGTGAAGAAACTGTTATTCAATTCACTCACAATGGAAGAAGTAGACGAGGACTAATACTATTTAATGATTGTATCTTACTTACAAAAAAAGAAGAAAAATTAATGAAAATAAGATTTATTATTGAATTAGGTAAGTGTAGTATTGTTGAACCAAATAAGGAGAAGTCCTTACAGGTTTATAGTAATGTCAAATCATGTGAAATTGAATTTGAAAGTTATGAGCAAAAAGAACGTTGGAAAAGTATTAGTAAAGATGCTATTACCCGAATGAAAAAAACATCTGACTTTGTTTTTTCTCCATTAGTTATTTCTCCCGAAGATGTAAATGAGTGTAAAATATGTCAATCTGAAATAAAAAAAAAGAAAAAATATTATTGCAAGAAATGTCTGAATTATATCTGTTCTAGGTGTTGGAATTCTACTGGGAAATGTTGTCTTAAGTGCCATTTTTTAGAAAAAGAAAAGGCAAACCAAAAGAAACTAGAGCTTTTTAAAACAGAAAATGAATGTAATTCTTTTAATTTGAATATTAATTCCAACCAATCTCTAACTCCAATCCAACCAAACTCTCTAATAACTACTAAAGGATTACAAAAACTTAGGGAAGAGTTAAATAAGATGAATACAATAATGAGTGCATTAAAAGAACACCAACCTAAAGAAAATAATCTGCTGATAGAAGATGGTAGTAATGGAATTAAGAAAGAACAAAGTCATCAAAAAGGTATTACATCTACTGAAAGAACATTCAAAACAGAAAAAGATACAAAACCTATGATGGGACTGAGTGATTTAAGAGAAGACATTACCACTTTAAACGAGAATGGGTATTGTAATAGTCTTGATAATACTAAGAAAGAAAAGGTTAAACTAATTGAAGAAAAACAAGATGATAGATTGATAAATATGAATAATGGAATAGAGGTTGTGTTGTGCCAAAGAAAAAAAAGTAATTCAATGACTCAAGAAGAAACAAAAGTACATGAAATATTTTGTGAAAAGAAAAGAAGAAGCTTTTTTTCAAAAAGTCTACAAACCGTTAAACAAAAACAAGATAGTTTTCAAACGAAGTCTAAGAAGAAAGACATAGTACCACACAACATTGAAGAGGATAGGCTGTCGATTGAAACAATTCCAGAAGGATCTGGCAGAGTTCAATTTTTAAAGAAATTAAATGAAAAACGAATTTCACAAGAAAAAGAAGAAATTGAGAAATATAGAATAAAAACCAAACTTGTTAATGATAAAAAATAATCAATGGTGTTATTATCTTATTTGTTTTGGTTAACTTCAATGAAGAAAAGACTGCCATGGAGAAGTATTTGAAATTATATCTCCAAGTTAATGTATTAAACTTGACTAGTAATGTAGAGAATTTGGACAGTATTATTATTTTATTGTTATTTCTTTATTTATGTAGATCATCACTACATTATTTTAAATTAACTTCTTCTGTTTTTATCATCATCATTTTCTTCGCTTTAGTGAATTAAAATTAAAAATGATACTACTTTATTAAAATATTGTTTCATCGGTTTACACTCGTTTTTTCATTCGGTTATTAGGAAATATCAAACCATTTAATACTTGTCTGGTATATTCCAAAATTTCTTGTCATTTAAATACATTCTTATTCCATTGGTTGTTTCTTGGTAATGTCTTTAAATTATTGAAGTCTAAAAATGGTGTAATTTCTTCATTATTTATTGTTGATAACAAACAAAATTATAACCATAAACTAAGTTTAGTATAATGGAACTGCTGTAAGTTAAATTGAAACTTTATTTCTTGCTCATACTACGACAACGTTTTCTTGATAATTCTGCTTGACATAATGTTTTCTTATTTTCTAGTTCATTTATTTGGTCTAGAATATCTTGTTTAGTTTGTTCTAATCTTTCATTTATTGTTTTAACTTCATTTAATTCTTGCATAAGATTATTAACAATACATTCAGCTTGTTTAGCGTATGGACTAGCAGATGATACTGTTGCTTTATGAAGATGATCCTCTGCAATTAATTCACATTCAGAAACATTAATAGTAACAGCCATTCCTTTATATTTAGACTCAACCCATTCAATTAATTTCTTTGTTTTCTCAGTTGGTTCTTTCTTTTCAACTTCTTTTCTTGGTGTTGAAGGTATTTTGGGACTTTTTCCTTGAATTTTATTTGTTAATTCAAGTTCTTTTTGTTGAATGACTTGTTCTAATTTAACTCCAAATAAATTGTTTAATAAGACTTGAACATTAAATAATGTTAACTCAATAGACATTATTCTTTCAGTTTTTGGTTGGGTTTTATCATATTTCCAAATAAATGAAACACTTGGGTCTTCTTCAGTTGATATCCACTCTGAATTTAATTTAGGTGATACTCCATTAAACGGTGATAAAATAGTTTCTAATTGTTCAGTAATAACACTTTCAAGGAATAGTCCAATACTTCTAAAATGTTTATCTAATCCAAAACAAAGTTGTAATCCTTTTACCTTCATTTTTGAATAATATCCTTCTTCTCCTCCTTTTTCTTTCCTTTGAACAATAGAAGTAACAGGAACACAAACAACACCATCATCTAATACAATTTCTAATCCTATAGCAGGAATTTCAGTTGACCTAAAAGCAGGAATGAAAGATTGGTCAACAAAATTTATTGCAGATGTAGTAATATCATCAGCACTTTCTTTAACCGTACTTGTGATTTTATTACCAAATGTGCTAATTTCTCCACCCATTTTGCTTTGAACATATTCTTTAATTTGTTGAACATATTCATAAATATTCCTAAATGATTTATGACGTAAGTCAAAATGAATTTGTTTAAAATATAATTGACTCATAACCAATGCAGGAACACTATCACTTTCATCAAATTTAACTTGCATTTTAAAGTCTGCTCTTGTAGGTGGAAAAAGATATGAAGTTTTTTCTTTATCACTTAGATGAATAGCAAACGTTCCCATAACAATACCTAAATTGATTTCTTTTGGTGTTTTAATTCTTTTAATGTCTAATTGATGTTTAAGTTTTTTTGAAATATCTTTATCAACAGTTAATTCATTCCATAAAGGTTGATTTGTTATTTTTACATTATCTAATTCCATTATAAATGTTCCTTCATTATTAGGAAATGGTCCTTCAAACCTACAACCATTTAATTTAAAGTCTATGTCTATTCTTTTTAATAAATCAAGTGCACATCCAAGTCCAAGAATATCAAGTGCTTGATTCCATTTATTTTTAGCATCTTCAAGAGTTTGCTCAATTCGTTCTTTCATACTAAGCATACTTACATCTAATTCAGATAATTTATCAATAACTGTTACTTTTAAAAATTCAATCAAATTCTTTAACATCTCAAATTCCATTGTAATTCCTACAAAATTTAATTCTCCTTTCATTTTTGTATTAATTAATACATTTCTTTCCCATGTAGTTGTAAGTTCGTTTGATAAAACAACATCTCCTTCTCTTTCAGGTAATGCCCAAACTAACCTTTTCATATTTCCATGACTGTTATACATTCCTTCAATAGTTCCTATAGAAAACCCATATAATCCTTTTTTAATTCTTCCTCCAAATGCAGGAACAAAAGTCATTGAAATATCACCAATAATCCAATAAATTCCTTCATCTGTATCTTCATTTTGTAATGATAATTTTAAAAATTCTAATATAAACTTAAACATTGTTCTTGGTTCTCCTTTTTTCTCTATCTTTTGTAATTTTTTCTCTTGCTTTTTTTCCATCTTTTCTAATTTTTTCATTGCTTTAATGTCTCCTCCATCAACACATTCAACAGATAACATAGATGATCCTTTCTTAAATGAATAAGCTGATGTTACTGGTGACACAGACAATGATGAACCTAATGATGAACTTGGAATTTTACTCTTTGATTTAGGAGGTACTATTGGCATAGGCTTTGCTGTTGTTTTTTGAATAGACAATGTTGATGGTGTAGAAGATGTTAATTCATTATCAATTCTATTTATATTTAATGGTGGAGTAGATGAACGAGAAGTACAAGTAGAATTATTTGTTGAAGGATTCAACGAATTGTTATGAGTTAATGTTTCATCAACATCAGCGTTAACAACATCTAAAATAGCACTTTCAGTTGCAATAGAAAAGAATGTTCTAAAGTAATTAATCAAATTAATGTAATCATCCATAGAGAGATTTAAGGATATTTTAGTTAATTCAATAATACAAGAAGTATCTAATAATTTATAAGATTCAGCTTCTCTTTGAGTAGTATATTTTCCAATAACTTCCATTCCATGACATAACGTAACAACTCTATTTCCTGTTGTAAGAGTAAGACTTAAACTATTAACTTGTAAGAATCTATAAGAATAGATAATATTGTCAATAGGAATTTCATTTTCTATTTTATTTATTTTATTAAACTGTTGATCAGCAAAATATGTTTCACCATCTTGAATAACAAGATTTAATATAGATGGTCCAATTTTTAATGATAACTTAAAATTTGAAATTTCAACTAAAATAGTGTCTAATAACTCCCTTGATTTCTTCTTCTTAGGTTTTTTTGGTTTTTCCTTTTTATTCTTTACTTGTTCTTTTCGAATTAATTCTGGTGTTAAGACTATATCATGTGCATCCACAATAACTTCTCCAAGTCTTAAGATAATAGGTTTTGAATATAAGTGTGTCCATGGTACAATAACATCAATAGAACTACATGTTGCAGTAGTAACTTCAATTTGAGATGGTAGCAATACCATTTCTCTAAATACATCTTTAATAAATCCAATATCATGAAGAGTAACTGTTCCTTGTGATGGTGTAATATCAACATCATTCCCAGTTCCCCAATCACTACAACTCTCAATAAATGTTTTGAGGAATTTTTTAAGAATTTTTGATGCAACTAAATCCATTATTCTTTAGATATTTTTTAAGTTCTTTCATCTTTTTTTTTGATTTGTTTTGAACAATTTCATTTAGTTTACTTTTTGCTTTAAAAAAAAAAAATAAGAAGAAACATTATTTTTATAAGAAAAGAATAATTTTAGTTCAATTGAAAAATAGTATTAATTAAAAGTAATAGCAACTTATAGAAGTACCTGTTGTATACCTTGGAAATTAGGTAATTGTCCTTGTTCTAATAAAAATAGTGTGAATGAACCAATTGTGTCAGTAATTTTTTCTAATTCATTAAATGAAATATTGTAAAAATTACACATTTTTTTAATATTACGAAGTACATCTTCAAAAATATTATCTTCTAGAAACTTGAAAACATCTTGTTGGTTAATACAATATAATAAAAGAGATGTACCAAGAATTGGAACTGAAGTATTAAGGAATTCTGATGAGATTAATGTAGCATAAACATAAGGAAAAATTATTGTTGAGTTAAATGATGATGGTAAAACAATATCAAATAAATTTAATAATTGAATAAAAAAAGAATAAGTGGTAACGTAAGTTGTTTTGAAATAAAGAGTATCTAATACTGTTAATTCAAAGTCATATACTTCTTGTTCTGACCACATTAATCTAGAATTACACATATATAAAATTTGATTATTATATCTATCCATTTTTGATGCAATATCATAAGCAACATATCCAAGTAATTGTAATGACTCTCTGTTTAGTCAATATTACTGATATTGTTTAAAATAAATAAAATACCAAACACTGCAAAATTTGGTGTTACAGCTAAAAAATGATCAAAAATCGCTACAACTTGGTCAATGACAAAATCTGTTTCATGACAATTTTCTTCCATGAGCATTTGAATGACTTTAGCTCTCATGGAACCATTTACCGTCCTTCCTTTTTCTGCATAAAAATTAGACATAAATTCTCTTTTAGAGTTTATGACAAGATACAAATATTTTTCTTTATCAATACTAAAATCACAATCATCGTCACTAAATATCTCATTGTCTTCATTTAACCCATTGCCTTGATAATATTGACTTAACCCACAGTCGACTAAATTCGCTAAATCACTCTTAAAACTTGACATTTCACTTGAAATATATTCTTGGCAACGTGTACAAATTTTACTAGGACTTATTTCATTAGGAAGAGTGACAACATAATGAGACTTTTCATCAACTTTAACAGGGTCATTTCTGTTTATTCCTGCAGGAACAAATTCAATACTACCTCTAGGTTTTTCTCTTAGTTGATTAGGTTGTTTTAAAGATTGTTCATCTTCATTCATAAGTTTCAATAAATGATTATTTTTAAGTTCGTTCAAATCCTTTATTTTGAAATGAAGGGTAATTTCAAGATTTGATTGGTTGTTATTAGAAGTCGTGAATTTTTAGTTTAATTTCTTTTTATTTATCGAAAATAAAATGTCATTAGATAAAATGAACTAAAAAAAATAGAAAAAGAACTATACAGTCAGAGTAATTCATCAAACTTATTATGGAACAACACGAATGGTGGCAAAGTGAAGAATGGGAAGATGAGAAAGACAAACAGTGTATTAATAGAATACACCAAAGTATTACAAGTAGAAAAGAATTGTCATTTAATTTTATTGAAAGTTTGTAAATCAAAGTCATAATAATATCAAAATATCAAATAAAGTATTGACTATACAGCATTATATTATACTCATGGTATTCATTCAACAATACAAAAATATATTCATTGTATTCCAACTCAAGAAATATATTACTGGAGTATTATTCTTATTAAATTATTAATGTTTATTTTAAAGAATAAAAAAAAAGACTATATGAAAGAAATTCGATTGTTTTGGGTATCTGGACAACCAATTCCACAATTTATAATTGATGTCTGTAATATTAATAGAATAGATACTTTCGAAATATGTAGACATGAATTACTTACTAAAGTTATTGAACTTCATAAAGAAACAAAAGAACAAATTCAACCATTCTTTATTATCGATGAAAATATTGGAATGAACAATGAAATAGAAAATATTATGAATACCTATCCATCTTTATATCTTTCACATATTTATTGTATTGATGATACTAATAATTATATTACTGTTAAATGTGAAAAATTAATTAAAGAATTAGATCAAATAGAAATGTGTAATAACCCTATTAGAATGATTATTATTGATTTTATTCTAAGTATTGATGGAAGTGGTAATATTCCAATTGAAATAGATTATTCAAAACAAAATGATGTTATTGAATGGAAAGATAATATCTTTGAAAAAAGTGTTGATCATATTGAGAATGCTCTTATTTACTATACTGGTAATCCTATTGAAATTAGTTGTACATATAATGGTACTACTTATCCAATTAAAATAACTAATCCATTAATTGTAAAAGATATTATTGAACCAATTAATCCACACTTTGTTGGTGAATATATGTTATCAGTATTGTTTGTTATTAAATTATTATAAAACACAAAAAAATATTCATTATTCATAGAGGAGGAAGTACTATACTTATTAGAATTAATTCTGGAGAATTAAAAAGAAAAGAATTTATTTATGAAAAAGAAATGAAAGCTGGAGGTGTTCAAACAATTATAATGAAATGTTTTGATTGTTTTGATAATATTACTTCAATTGGACTTCTTCAAATGAAATTAACTCATCACTCAAAAGAAATTTTTATTGAAGTAGAACAAAGTAAAATAGGATATATTAGTTGTACACCAGTATTATATGACAGTGGTGAATATCAAATATCTATACTTAATGATGCAAATGAACAAATAGAACAAATTACATTTACTGTTCTTCCTCTTGAAATAGATGATTCACTAACTCAAGTTAGTGATAATTCTAATACCCAAGTTCAAAACATTTGTCTTATAGAAGAAGGTGTAAATACTTCATTCCAACTTCATTTCTTTGACCAATTTCATAATCCTATGGATGCTCCAAAAGACTTAGTTTGTTTGAGTAATATTAATGATATTCAATGTCATAATAATGAAATACAAATAAAAGACCCTTCATTAGGTGAATATACTTTAGATGTTCAATATACCTCACCTCCACATAGTGTATGTGGATTTCCAAAAAAACTTATTGTTATTGAAAAACAAAATAACCTTTCTTTTCAATGGCAAATACCAAAACAAGTCATTCTTGGTCAATTACTTATTATTAAATGTATAACATTATTAAAACGAATTGACTTGATTAGTGCAACAGTTACAATTAATGATCATCCAATGAAGTCAATGATAATTCAAACGTCAGAAGGATTTGATATTCATAGTTGGTGTATTCAATTTGGAAATGGAAATATAAAATTACATTATGGATCTATAGAAAAAGAAGATTCTTTTAAAGTAATTAAAGGAGAAGAAGGAGATGAAATAAATTTTTATTTGATAGAATGAAATATAAAGAACTTAAATTATTCATTAAAAAGCAAAATTTTTTATTGTTTATAAAAATTTCCATATTTTTTTTTTGGAATACAAAGAAAAATAAACTAAAAAATGATTTCAAATGTCATCCCAAGTAAAAGGTGACAGTTTAAAAATTATTAGAAATGTATTTTCTAAAGTTAATGCTATTAAAAGTGATACAATCACTGCTTCTATTAGAGGAGAAAATGATTCTATTCAAGAATTTAGAATTGATATTATATTAAATCATATTTTATTTACAGGAACATTAGGCGTATTATCATCAAGTTTAAGTACACCTAATTCTTGTAATAGTCCATTTATTGGAATGAAACCACATAAAAGTGATATAGTACTATTAGAAAAAGCTCAAATATTTGCAGTTCCATTAATTTCATCAATGAACTATAACGTTGTTGAAAGTACTATTGCTATAAGTGGAATATATGGTATTCCTATTATTACTATGGATAACACAAATACTCCTCATCTTAAAGTTGCAGAAAAATTAGTTATTACAAGAGCATCAAATGAATTTATTCAAAAAACTACGATTATATTAGATAATATTAATAAATTTGAACAACCAATTCTTTCTATTCCATATATTCCTTTATTCGGTCAACCTTTAAAAAATGTTATGTTATGTCATAGACCTTTAGATAACCTTCAAGTCCCTTATTTTGTTTTTACTGCTTCAAGATATCTTGAAAATTGTGCTACAAATGAAGTTGGAATATTTAGACTATCTGGAGATGCAAAAGAAATGAAAATAATTAGAAAAAGTATTGAAGAAGGTGTTGAAGTTGATTGGACTCAATATAATATTCATAGTATTACTAATATCATTAAACAATTCTTTAGAGAAATGCCTGATGGATTAGTTAATTCCATTGATATGAATATACTTATAAAAAGTATTGAAAATGACTCTAATGAAACAGACGCATTAATTCATTTAAAAGAAGCTTTAAATCAAATATATAAACCTTCCCATGATATATTAGATGTTTGTTTTTTATAATTTTTATTTTTAATTCTCTGTATTCTCATTATGTGGTAGATCATTAGCCATCTCGTTAATAGAATTCTTTTTTGTCAAGAAATTACTCTAATGAACGAAAAAAATTTATTAATTTGTTTATCTCCTTCTTTGAGAATTCAAGCAAAAGTTTTATCATTGATATTATTTCATCATGATAATTTGTTTGATAAATTTACTACAAAATATTCACTTAGATAATTCTTTATATTCTTCATTCCCTTAATAGAAATGTTTATTATTTCATTCAATCTTGTTTTTCTATTTTGTTTTATGTTATATAATTTCAAAAAATCTCCTTTTTTGAAATTCATCAAAAACTCAAATCTTAATTGTGATATTTTTCTCTTTTTTTTTTTTGATAATATTCTTCTGATTGGTGGATCTTTAATATTATTTTTTTACTAAATAATATTAGTTCTATCAATTTTACTATATTAATTATTTATTATAATAGAATGAAAGCAAAACCATAAAAATCAACTTCAAACAACAAAGGGATTTAAAAAGAAATTTAAAAATCTTGTTATTATTATTATGATTAATTGGTTGTTTTTCAACATTCTCTTTGTGGGAATTTATGCACAAACTGATGATGGCTGTGCACAAAAAATATCAGATAATCACTGTATCTCATGTAAAAACGGTTATTACCTTGAATTGGTTGTAGAATCTGGATCAGCAATTCCAAAACTTATATGTAAGAAGTCAGAACCAATTTCAAATTGTGCTGATTCAGATGGACCTGTATGTGTGAGATGCAACGATGGTTTTTATGTAGATGAAAGTGGTACTTGTAAGTCTTGTAATAATGAAAGTACTAATGAAAATATTAAATGTTTACATTGTAATAGCACTCACTGTTATGAATGTGGTAAAACCAGTGATGGTAAACAACTGTATCTATCTAATGATCAAACAACGTGTATTGATTGCTCACTTGCTGAGAATAATGAGGCTTGTGGAAGATGTGGTAATGGAAAATATTTTGATGTAGATTCAAAGACTTGTCAGAGTTGTTCTGCTAATTGTGAATTGTGTACTGAGAAAAATAATTGTTTCCAATGTACTAACAAATCAATATTAGTCAATGACTCCTCAAAATATTGGTGCGAGCCAATTAAACATTGCAAAGATGACTATCTTAAGGAAGATCATTGTGAACTTTGTGAAGATGGGTATAGAATAGAAAAAGGTGATTGTGTTCCATGTGAAGATAAGAATTGTAAGACATGTTACCAAGAAGATAATTTGTCAGTATGTACAATTTGTAATGAGAATTTCATTGTTCATAAAGGTAAATGTTATGACAAAAAGGATTTACATTGTGCTGAAGGAACATCCACATACGGTTGTTTAGAGTGTGATCCTGGTTACTTCTTTACTGAAGAACTTGATTGTATAGAATGTTCAAAAAGCTGTGGAACTTGTGTTCAAAATGCAAGTCATTGTTTGTCATGTGCTGATGGCTATTATTTCTCAAAGGATAATAGTGAGTGTATCGAAAAAGATGGTGATTGTTCATTGGCTGATCAAGCAGGATGTAAAGAATGTTTTAATGATCTTAGTGAGGAAGGTTTAAAAAAACCTGGATATTTTGTTAGAAAAGGTGAACAAATATGTAGTCAATGTAATAAATATTGTAAACTTTGTGATGGTGAAGAATATAATTGCTCTGCATGTATTAATGATTATGTTCTAGCCAAAAACACAACTTCAAATGACAATGACGATATGTATTATTGTGAACAAAAACCAAGCTCATGTAAACGTGCAGAAATGGGTTATTGTACTGAATGTGAAGATGGGTACTTTATTTATACAAAAGACAACAGTAGTAGTCAGAGTTGTTTAAAATGTGATATTTCTTGTGCCACATGTACTATTGATGATAAAAATACAACGACTGATAATAGTGTCCTAGATGAAGTTACTAGTGATACATCAAATTCAATATGTTTGTCATGTGCTGAGGGATATTATAGACATAATGAGAGTGAAAAGTTATGTAGAGAGCAAAGTGAAATTAATATGACTTGTATAGCTGGTCCTACAGGGTGTGTCACATGTAATGATGGATATTGGATTAATTTAGATGATGAATCAGCATATAATTGTAGTTTATGTCCGTCTGAATGTA